GGTCGCCACATTACCAAAAGGATGTGGATGCTTTGGAGAGGGTGCAGAGGAGGTTCACCAGGATGTTGCCTGGTATGGAGGGCGCTAGCTATGAAGAGAGGTTGAGTAGATTAGGATTATTTACATTAGAAAGACGGAGGTTGAGGGGGGACCTGATTGAGGTCTACAAAATCATGAGAGGTATAGACAGGGTGGATAGCAAGAAGCTTTTTCCCAGAGTGGGGGACTCAATTACTGGGGGTCACAATTTCAAGGTGAGAGAGGAAGAGTTGAAGGGAGATATGCGTGGAAAGTTCTTTACACAGAGGGTGGTGGGTGCCTGGAACGCGTTGCCAGAAGAGGTGGTAGAGGCGGGCATGATAGCGTCAATTAAAATGTATCTAGACAGATACATGAATGGGCAGAGAGCAGAGGGATACAGATCCTTGGAAAATAGGCGACAGGTTTAGATATAGGATCTGGATCGGCCCAGGCTTGGAGGGCCGAAGGGCCTGTCCCTCTGCTATAATTTTCTTTGTTCTTTGTTCTTATTACCTTTTTGAGGTTCTATTCTTCAATTTGCCATCTAACTTCTCAAACACCTTCAGCAGAATCTGTTTCTTAGTTCTGCCTATGTCATTTGTACCAATGTGAACTACAACAACTGGATCCTTCTCCTCCCACTGCAGGTTGTTCTCCAGTCCAGAACAAATGTCCTGAATGCTAACACCATGCAGCTGAAACGACTTCTTGACTTATGGTTGTTTCTGCAGAGAACAGTGTCACAGAACATAGAACTACAGCACAGGAACAGGCCCTTCGGCCAATGATGTTGTGCCCAACGTGGTGCCAAATTAAATTAGTCCCTTCTTCCTGCCCGTGGTCTATATCCCTCCATTCCTTGCATATTAATGTGCTTATCTAATAGTCTTTTAAATGCCTCAATCTGCCTCCACCACTACCACCCCTGGCAGCACATTCCAGACTCTCTGTGTAAAAGCACTTGCCCCTCACATCTCCTTTGAACTTTCCCCCCCTCACCTTAAATGCAGGCCCCCTGGTGTTAAGCATTTCAACTCTGGGAAAAAAAATTCTAATAGTAAACAGTGTCTATGCATCTTGTAATTTTATAGACTTCTATCAAGTCTCCCCTCAGCCTCCGCTGCTCCAGAGAAAACAACCCAAGTTTTTCTAGCCTCTCCTTATAGTTCATACCCTCTAATCCAGGCAGCATCCTGGCAAACCTCTTCTGCATCCTCTCCAAAGCCTCCACATCCTTCCTGTAATGTGGTGACCAGAAATGAATGCAATACTAAGCCTAACCAATGTCTTATAAAAGCTATCCCTTTCACTAGACTGTCCCTTACTACCTCTACATTTCTTTTTGCTCCTCTACTTGAATGGTTTCCTTTACCATAGGTGCTGTGGCTAATTCGCTCATACTGCTCTCCAGGCAAGCAGAAAGAACCTCAAAATTGTTGGAAAATTGTACAGGCTAAGACTCTCGCACTCCTGTCCTCTAGGCCCCCTTAACTGTCTCACTTTAAGTCACATACTTCTGTTCCTGACCACTGACCAAATTAGAACACTTTATCCTAAGAGGTGTCATCATCTCCTGAAACAAATGTAACTTATCCCCTCCCCCAGCCTCAAGAACAATAACTCTGAGCCAAAGTTTCTGCATTTGTCCAAACATGGACAAAAGATCTGAACTCGAGGTGAGGAAAGAGTGATTGCCCTTGACATCAAAGCTGTGTTTGACTGAGTCTGGCATCAAAGAATCCTAGCAAACCCAGAGTCAATGGGAATGAGAGGGAAAGCTGTCAGCTGGATGGAGTTGTACTGAGTACAGAGAGAGATTGTTCCTAATTCCAAGATATTGCTGCAGGAATTTCTCACAGCAGTGTCATAGATCAGTTGTTTAATCAATTACGTCGTAAGATCTGAAATGCTCACTGATAATTACACAGTGCACAGTTCCATTTACAACTGCTCAGATACTGAAGCAGCCCATGTACATGTGCAACAAAGCCTAACAAAATCCAGGTTTGGAAAGATAAGTGCTATTATCATTCTCCCAATAGAGGTGCTAGACAATGACCATCTCCAACTAAAGCAAATCTAAACGCTTCCATATGACATTCAATGGGATTATAACAATATTCAAGAAGCTTGACTTCAAAAAAATACAGTCTGCTTGTTCCGTTCCCAATCCACCACATCAAACATTTATTTCCTCCCTAATAGCGCATAATGGCAGCCGTGTATAACACCTATGAGATGGACTACAGCAGTTCACTTAGATTTATTTGACAGTGGTTCCCAAATCTCCATTACCTAGAACAACAAGTGTAGCAGATGCATGGAAAACATTACCTGTAATTTATGCGCCATCCAGTATTACATTGCTGTTGTTGTTCTTTTTGCTGGATGAAGATCCTGAAACAAGCACCCTCAACTATACCCTACCTCCCCATAGGAGTACCATCAGCTCAAGAACTTTGGGGTTCAAGAAAAGGTTCACTGCTTCTTTCTCAAGGGCAATTAGGGATGAATAACAATTGCTAGCCTTACTAGTGACACAGCCCCCATCCCAGGTATTAATAAAAATTCTTTCAGAGATGTGTCTCTCTGTCACATTAATGATTATGTTATTGTTATCAATATGTTCTGTGCTGCTGTCCCGTTAGTCATATTTTTATTTTCTTAACTGTTGCTTAGGGGGATTTGCTGAGTCCATGTCGCTGTGCTGGATCTGTTCGTTGTACACACCAACCCTGCCTGATAAAGTGGATTAGTGAGAGGGGATCCTGGAGTTGTGAGCTGTGTTACTACAAATACCATGTCATTGCCATCAGTGCCAAGAATCCTCTTCAGGTGCCATTTTTTTTTTACTTTTGCTTTACTCTGTGTTTACTCTTGTGTTTTTCCAATGTTTGCATATGTGCAATTCCTAACAGGGGTCACTGGACAGTGCTTGAGAATTGGAACGCCTGCTGACTTCTCCCTCCTTACCTAGGGATTCTGAGAGCTTCTATCTACTCAGCTGACATCAAATGGGCAAGAAAAAGGTGTTCTTAGGGTTCAAGCCAAGACTAATGTTGAGACAGAGGTGAACATGCGCAACTATTTAGGTCTGTAAAAATATGACAGACTGCTTCATCTGCAAACAGTATCATATTTCATAGAATTGTATTGGCTAATGCGTGTAGAACAAAATCCCAGAAATAGTAAACAAATGAAAAGGATGTCAGGTGAGGAAGGACTGTTGCACTAGGATCGGCACCTTATTGATATGCCTCATTGTAAAAGGCTGCAAGCTTCTTTAACAACAAATTCATGTGTACACTCTTCTGCTGAAGATTAGCCTTCATCAGTGAGGACATTGACTCAATTAGTTCACAGAATCACAGAATTGTTAAATTGTTAAATTCAGCCCCTTGTGTCTGTGCCAGCTTTCTAAAGGAACATTTCACCCATCACCATTCTCCTGCCTTCTCCCTGTAACCCTACGCATTGTTCCTTTTCAGGTATCAATCTAATTTGCTTTTTGAAAACCTCGATTGAACCTGCCCCCATCACAATGTCAGACAGTGTGGAGCTTTGTTATCCCTGACTCCAGCATCGGTAGCTCTTCCTATCTCACAATGTCAGACAGTGTTTTCCAGATGACAACCACTCATTGCATGAAAATGATTCTCCTCATTTTGCATTGCTTCTTTTGCCAATTAGGGTACATCTGTGTCCTATGACTCTTGATCCTTCCACCAGTAAGAATTGTTTCTCTCTAATTACTCTGTCCAGATACCACATTTTAAATACCGAATCATCTGAGCTGTTTAACAGCTACCTACCATCACAAAAACATCCAGCTCATTAAGCTGATTTTCATAAATGAAAAGAACCTCAGGAAGTTAGAACAAAAAATGTTCCCCAGCTTAAAAAGTCAACACCACAATAGTTCAGATTTTGACACAGTCGCTGGCTAAATCACAATTTAGGATGCGGAAATTCCTTTACAATCATAGCCAACATCATCAACACTTAGTGCAGAAGTGAATGCTGTCTAGGCTTAGCTGAACATGGACATGGACTGCTTCAATACCTGAGGAGCCATGAATGATTCCAAACATTTTGCAGTCATTCGTGAATATTCCCACTTCTGACCTTATGATGGGGGGACGGTCATTGATGAAGCAGCTGAAGACGATTTGGCCTAGGGCACTACTCTGAGGAACTCCTGCAGAGATGTTGTGGAGTTGAGATGACTGACCTCCATTTTCTTTGTGCCAGGTATGATTCCAGCCAGCTGAGAGATTTTCCCTACTAGCTATTGACTTTAGTTCTGTTAGGGCTCCTTGATGCTAAGGTCAAATGCGTCTTCAATATCAAAGGCAGTTACTCTACATCATCTCCGGAATCCTTGTTTGTAATGAGGTCAGGAGCACAGTACATATAGATGCTGTGTCTCCCCTAGACTTTGAAGATAGAGATGTGTGTGTAAGGGGTTCTCTCACCTTGTCTTCTCTTCACCTTGCCATCCTGAAACTTGGTTGCTCAGAGAGGAATTTCCCAGAAGTGTTCTCCATAAATTGACTGATTTTTTTTGCACAATGGTCATTTTCAGTACTTGCTGGCCCAACTGGTTCAATTGATCAATCAATCTTTTGATTCCCCATGCCTTTTGGTTTTGTATGTTCATTGGTCGAACCTTATTTTGTTGATTTCCTGGCTTTCACACACTGGGGTCATTGTGACTTTCATGGTGTTGTAAGTAGTGGTAATATTTTACTCCCTCTCCATTTTCATTTTCATTAAAGTCATGGAAAGTCCATATTTTCACCACCCAATTCTTTTACAAAATCCAACTTACTATCTTTGGCCCTTGCTGAAGCCTTCCCTTTCCATCATTTAGTTTCTAATCTTTACACATTCCACATTAAATCACTGATGTTTCCTCACTGCACCTCTCCCCACACCCCCAACCCCCAAAAGCTCTCTATTGCCAAAGCCTCAATCACAGAAAAATTCACCTCCAACTACTTCTTTCATTACCACCATCCTTCTCCTTTTGAACCCCAGGTCCTTCTCTGAAAAAAATGTCCAAATTTCTTGAATGTGCATGTTCAAACTTTGACCTGAGTGGCTCCATTATATCTTTGGAGTTCTAGGATGGAACTGTACCTGACTCAAACATATCAAATTTTCCTCTCTCAAAGTCATCAATATTCCAGGGACATCCTGCAGGACGAAATTCTTTTCTCTATAGAGCTCTGTTTCTTAATGTCCTCCTCATTTCCCCTGGAAACTTCACCTCCAACAGAAATTGGGATGAACACAGATTTCACAATGTCAGAACAACTATTCAGCCACCTCGCAGACCTGTATTATTTTTATTCTCATAAACCCAAACCTCCCCCTTACCCTGGAATCTAGCTCCATTAAGGTAATCTCATCCACTAAAGTCCCCTGGATTCCATTCTTACTAAATGCCTGACTGCTCAGCTTCACTCCCTGGTCTCCACTTAACCGGATGGTAATGGCTCCCTTTCCTCAGGTACAATTCCCTCTCTTAAAATTGATCTTTATTAACCCTACTCAAAAACTCACTGTTTAAAAATTCATTCATGGGATGTGGACATCGCTTGCAAAGCCAGCATTTATTGCCCAACTCTATGCTGCCCTTGAACTAAGTGGCTTGCTATGGCCATTTCAGATCATTACCTGGCTCATCTCATCAACAATCAGTCCATCAGCAAAACGGCAGAGACAGTACTTACTCTTCCAGATCTGCTATGGAATGTATGGATTCATGGACATTGTCAATCCATTTCAGTGGATAATGAAGAGCTAACCGCATTGCTGTGGCTCCGAAGTCAATGTAGGCCAGACCAGGTAAAGATGGAAGATTTCCTTCCTTAAAGGACATTAGTTAATTAGATGAGTTTTCACACCAATCAACAGTGATTACATGGTTGCCAGGTTTTTTTTTACTCTGTACCATCTGCCATGTCCCCGGAACTTTGACCTGGATTACAAGTTCAATGAAATTGCTACTGCACCACTGCCTTGATCTCTCCATCCTTGTAAATTACTAACCACCCTTTACTCTCCAAAGTCCTTAAATATTTTCTCTCCTTATAAACTCCAAATCATCTGCACCCTATGTTCAAATCGCTGCAAGTCATTTTCTGTCCCTGCTGCAACAGTGGACAACTCTCTGAAATACTAAACCAGATATTTGAGAGCCTTTACGTTTTGGCTGACCCTGAAATGAGCTTTCAATTCTATATCCTCTTCATTACAAAGACTGTCAACATCTACCTCCAGACTTTGTCTATCTTCACCACTGCTTATCTTCTGCTGAAAAGCACTTAGGATCATTCTGCACCAGAGGCTTGTTCTAGCTGAGATACTTTGTCACCTTCAAGTTGTTTTGGTGTTCCTTCCGACACCCTTCTTAAATTTCACTTTCTGAATTTAACCTCATTGAAAACTCGGTTGCCGTTATCCTATATCAAGTTTCATTCTCGCCGTTATGCTCATGGACCTACATAAGCTTTGATCAAAATGCAAGTTCTCAGCCTTTTAAAAAATCTTTTCAAATCCCTTTCTCTATAACATCCTTCAGCCCTTAAGCTTCCACAAATTCTCAATTGCTCTGTTTCCCAACCATAGTCCATACCCATTTCCCTTTGCTTTCTTCTTCTGAAATTCCTCTCTTGAACTATTTTCATTTTTACTATCATTGAGAAAACACTTATTTCGCCAGTGTTTTGGTCACTGCTATGAATCTTTCCTGCTTTCTTTCTGTAGTTTCTTTGTCCTTGCATCTCAATTATTTTTACATTACTTGTGCATGTAAACATACAATGTTATTTTTGATTGTGCAGCTGTGATATTACTGTAGTTTTTTGTATAAGCAAACTGTGAACTATGCTGTCAAATATACGGATATTACTCTGCACAAATGATAAAGAGTTAATAAACAGTTTGACCACTTTCTGCTCCATCTCCAGTGGCAGGCAATATCTCTGACGGTGATTGAGAGAGTTCAAATTGCAGCTGCAATTCTCGGCTCCTTGTTCCTCATTGCAAGCATTTCCTGGCTCATCTGGTCAACAATCAGCCCATCAGCAAAGTGGCAGAGGCAGGACTTACTCTTCCAGATCTGCTATGGAATGTACGGATTCATGGACATTGTCTGCATTGGTAGGTCCTCACTACTGAATCTCTGCATAACTAACATGAGTGGAATAGATTGAGTTTGGTGTGAAAGAGAATTGAGTGATGGACATTCATCTTTTGAAGCAAAATCTGAATCTGTTGGGTGTAAGAAGGAAAGCTGAGTGAAATAAAGGAGTCTCAATGAAGTCCCCAGTGAGCATAATTCTGGGGAATGCAGTCTCACTCATAAAGGGCACTAAAAGGCCTCAACAAATGTCTATCAGGATTACCCTTGATAACTTGCTACAATACTTCAAAAGGGCATTGAGAATAAGATATAAAACAGGGTTTGGAGTCACATGTCAGCCTGACTGCACATGGAGTATACCTCTTTTCTGAAGAGCATCTTTAAAATAGTTGGTGTTGTGTTTGTCTGTGTGTGTGTGTGTGTGTGTGTGTGTGTCTGTGTGTGTGTGTGTGTGTGTGTGTGTGTGTGTAGACTACATGATAGTGACAGTTGTAACACAGTTACTGACAAAAGGTTTGTTGAGCACATTTGGGCTCTCCGCAATAAGAGTTTAACTAATTCCATTCACCAGCCATTTCCTGTAACCCTGCAGTTTGTTTCTTTTCGGGTAATTATCAATTCCTTACCCAAGAACGAATCTGTCTCCATCACCTTCTCAGGCAATGCATTCCATATCCTAATCAGTTGCTGCAAAAAAAATAGTTTTCACTCATGTTGCCTTTGCTTCTTTTGCCATTTACATTAAAGCGTTGCCCTCCACAGTCATAGAACGTAGAACATAGAACAGTAGAAGCACAGTACAGGCCCTTTGGCCCATGATGTTATGCCAACTTATTATCCTACTCTAAGATCAATCTACCCTGCATACCCTTCATTTTACTATCATCCATGTGCCTATCCAAGAGTCACTTAAATGTCCCTAATTTATCTGACTCTACTACCACCGTTGGCAGTGCATTCCATGCACCCACCACTCTCTGTGTAGAGAACCTACCTCTGATATCTCCCCTAAATCTTCCTCCAATCACCTTAAAATTATGCCCCCTCGTGATAGCCATTTCCACCCTAGGAAAAAAGTCTCTGGCTAACCACTCTATCTATACCTCTCTATCAAATCATTTCTCATCCTTCTTCACTCCAATGAGAAAAGCCGTGGCTCCCTCAGCCTTTCCTCATACGACCTGCCCTCCAGTCCAGGCAGCATCCTGATAAATCCTTGCACAATTGAGAACAGTTTTACCCTAAATGCCTACATGCCTCATGTTTTTGACTGTATCAAATCTGTAATACTTTTTTTTCTAAACCTTCCCTTTTCCAAGGAGACCAATTGAAATCTTGGGAATTTGTACCACAGGAAATAAGAATGGCAGGCTGTTTGGATCCTCAAGCCCATTTTGCCATTCTAGTTCATGGCTGATCTGCTACCTCAATGCCATTTTTGTGTACTAGCCCTATGTGCTTTGGTATCTATAATGTCTAGAAATCTATTATCTCTGTCTTGAATATTCTCAATGACGAAGCCTCCATAGCACGCTGAGCAAGAGAGTTACAAAAGTTTACCTCCCTTGAGTGAAGCAATTCATCCTCAGTTCTGTTCAAAATGGCCTATCTCCTATTTTGAGACTGTTTCCATTGATTCTACACCCCCAAGCAGGGGTAACATTCTTCCTGCTTCTAATCTGTCAGGCCCTGTTAGAATCTTGTATCTGTCAATGAGGTCACTTCTCATGGTAGAGAATTCAGGCACAGTGTCCCCAATCCTTCCTCATTAGACAATCCTGCCATCCCGGGGATCAATCTGGCGAACCTTTGTAGAACGCCACCTGTGGCAAGTCTATCATTCCTCGGATGAGGAGACCAAAATGCACACAGTACTTGAGGTGAGGTCTCACCAGGGCTTTATATAATTCCAGCAAGACATATTTACCCCTGTATTTAAATCTTCTTGCAATAAAGGCCAACATATCATTTGCCTTTCTAAATGCATCCTGTATCTGCCTGGTAGTTTTCAGTGGCTCATGCTCAGAGAAATGTGATGAGGTGTGGCATATATTTATTTACACATTCCTGGGATTCTTTTTATTAGTTCGTGGGATGTGGACATCACTGGCCAGGCCAGTATTTACTGCCAATCCCTAATTGCCCAGAAGCCATTTGAGAGTCAACCACATTACTGTGTGTCTGGAGTCACATGTAGGCCAACCTGGGTAAATCTGGCAGATTTCCTCCCCTGAAGGACATCAGTGAACCAGATGCCTTGGCATAGCAAGTGGTCTCCAGTGCTATCACATCCCTCGTATAACATGGATTTCAGAACTGCACACAATGCTCTAGTTGTAGCCAGCAAATGTTTTATGCAGTTCCAGTACAACCACCCTGCTATTAAACTCAATCCTTGGCTAATAAAGGCAAGCATCTCATATGCCTTCTTAACTGGTTTATCCACCTGCTCTAATACTCTAAGGTACCAATGCACACTAAGTGATATCACATCCCTCTGATCTTTGATGCTTCAGAGGGTCCTCTGTTCACATTTATCCATATTGAATTTGATTTGCCACTAATTCCATCTGAGGTCAGCCTGAGCTGTGACAGCAACAGCAGTAGAATGAAGGAGGGTGAACATGGGGATGAACAGCAATAGCTTGGAGCTGAATCTAGGGTTGCAGCTCCAGAGGTGACAGCATGACTCAAAAAGTGACATGGGCTTGGCTGCTCAAGTAGCAGGTTTGCAGACTGGTTGAATAGTGTCTGGAGAGAGATAAAATACTTATTTTTGTGGTTGTAGTCTGCTAGGAATAGAGAATGGGAGCAAGAGGCCTGAGTTTGGTAAACAGTATTGAGTTCCTGAATTATTACCTATGGTTGATAAGGTTGATTTAGTTGATAAGGTCCACAATGGCAGGAGAACTCAGCCCCATGGAATATTCCTCCCACAGTATGTGGGAAATCAAGGAAACTTCCAGTCTCCATGGTAAGTACATATGCAGAAAGTGTGTTCAGCTACAGGTCCTGATTTTCCACACGAGGCGCCTGGATGGACTCACTTGGAGCATCCACAAGATTGAGAATGTCGTGTTAAGCACGTTTAGTGAGCTGGGCATACCACCAGTAAAGGCTACACAGAGAGAAGAGTTGGATGACCACCAAGAAGTTTGAGTAAGCGTGGTCAGACAGTGCAGGAGTCCCCTGTGGTCATTCCCCTCTCAACAAATATAACATTTTGGATACTGTTGGGGAGGGACGGGGAAATGGCCTCTCAGAGGAAAGCAGCAGCAGCAGCCAGATCAGTGTCACTATGACTGGAACTGTTGTACAGCGGGAAGAATCAAAGTGTAAGCCAGTAGTAGTGATGGGAACTCTATAATCAAGGGCATAGAAATGCATTTCCGTGGTGGTGAGCTGCATTCTTGAACTGCTGCAGTCCACCTGCTGTGGGTTGACATACGATGCCATTAAGGAGGGAATTCCAGGATTTTGATGAAGCAACAAAAAGGAATGGCATTATGTTCCAAGTCCAAGCCTAGATATTGTTTCTCTTGCTGAGATGTCCAGGACATTAGTTAGGCCACTTTTGGAATACTGATTTCATTTCTGGTCTCCCTGCTGTAGAACGAATGTCGTTCAGAAAAGGTTTACAAGGATGTTGCCAGGGCTGGAGAGTTTGAGCTATAGGGAGAGGTTGATTAGGCTGGGACAATTTTCCCTAGAGCGTCAGATGATGAGGGGTGACCTTATAGAAATTTATAAAATCATGAGGGGCATAGATAGGGTGAATAAAACAAGGTCTTTTCCCAAGGTAGCAGAGTCTAAATCTAGAGGCATAAGTTTAAAGAAGGAGGGGAAAGATTTAAAGGGATCTAAGGAGCAACTTTTTCACACAAAAGGTGGTGCATGTATGGAATGAGCTGCCAGAGGAAGTGGTGGAAGCTGGTACATTTACAACATTTAAAAGGCATCTCGATGGGTATATAAATTGAAGGGTTTAGAGGATATGGGCCAAATGCTGGCAAATGGGACTGGATTAATTTAGGATATCTGGTTGGCATGGACATGTTGGACCAAAGGATCTGTTTCCATGCTGTACAGCTCTATAACTCCATGTCCTGGAGCTAAAATGACTGACGTCTGACAACCATGACCATCTTCCTCTTTGCCAGATATGACTCCACAACCACCAGAGAGTTTGTCCCCTGATACCCATTGGTGCCAGTTTTGCTAAGACCCCTTGATGCCACACTCGTTCGAATGCAGCCTTGATATCAAGGGCTATCACTCTTGTCTCACCTCTGGAATTCATCTCTTTTATCCGTGTTTGAACTGAGGCTGTAATGAGATCAGGAGCTGAGTGGTCCTGTCGAAACCCAAACTGGGTGTCTCTGAGCAGGTGCTGCTTGATAGTACTATTCAGGATACCTTTTGACACTTTACTGATGGTGGAGAGTAGATTGATGGGGTGGTAATGGGCTGGGTTGGATTTGTCCTGCTTTTTATGTAAGGGACCATACCTGGGAAATTTTCCACTTTTGAAACTGTATTGGAGAGCTTGGCTAGGGGACCGCTAAATTAGAATAATAGAATTCCTACAGTGTGGAAATAGGCCTTTTGGGCCATCAAGTCCACACTGCCCCTCCAAAGAGCATTCACCCAGACACACTCCCCTACACTATCCCATAATCTTGCATTTCCCATAGCTACTCCACCTTAACTTACACACCCCTGGACACAATTGGCAATTTAGTGTGGCCAATCCATCTAACCTGCACATGTTTGGACTGTGGGAAGAAACTGGAGCACCCAGAGGAAACCAGGCACAGGAGAATGTGCAGACTCCACACAGGCAGTCGCCTGAGGCTGGAATTGAACCTGGTTATCTCGCGCTAAGAGCAGCAACGCTATCGTGCGTCCTGGTCTTTTTTTTTGAAAATATTCTTCCTTTTTTTTACTGCAATGTTTTCCAAGGCACAGGGCTCTCTCTTGGTGTAAACCCATTCCAGAGTGCCATGTTCTTCACAAA